AATATGTTAGCATTTTCTTTGATTGACTCTCTACTTTCCATAACAGCCGTCCCTGGAGAGCTGCTCTCCACTCTCATCCCATGCTGGTGTCCTGAACTTCCCACAGTGACTTGGCCCTTACACTGAATTTTCTGGCTTCTTGTCTATTCGATTCAACTGATATCTTAAAATATCTGATTAGTACTTAATAGTGTTGGCAGGTTAGAATCATATTTTAAAAAGAAAAGTATATTTAAGCATTAACTTCCTGAATTTACTCACTGAAAGGACATTTTCCCCCTCATGTTATACAGAAAAACTGGACAATGAAATGACCACCTGTTAGCTGCTAATGATGTTCACATGCTTTTAAAAAAGTAATTCTGGCTTTATCTGTCTACAATCTTGGCGACAAAACTCGTGGGAACATCAAGGGCACAGGAAGCCAAAGGCAGCAAACTGACAATAAAGTTTGTGCTTAGACTACTAATAAGGAAGGAGATACTGTGAATCTCTAATTCTACATAATTATTTAATCTCAAGAGGGTAACATAAACTGAATGCATGTTTTAAAAACCTAAGTTTGGGTGTTCAAATCTAGCACTGAGATCAGAGGAGTTTCACACAGCATATTTCCTACTTGAAAAAAAATATTTTAAAAAACATCAATGTAAAATGTGCCAATCACTATTTCAAATGCATAGTCTAATTTGATACTGTGTGGGTGGATAAATCATTATGTCTCTCAAATGAAAATGAATATATCTATTACTTTGAATTAAGTTTATTCAGAATTTATACTCCAACTCAGAATTTACACTGAGTAAACTTAATTCAAAGTAATAGGTGGATATTAACTTACTCTACATTGCAAAAAATATACTAGCCTTAACAAAGACTTACAACTATAAATATCCACTAAAACACAGAAAAGATGAATTTTCTAAAATTAAGGCTAGCATTAAAGATTGAATAACCCTTTTGTTTTAATAGTCAAATCAAAGCCCAAAGAAAATATTTGGTTTTAATTATTTTGCTAATATGTTTTTCGGTCCCTATTTAAGTTTACTGATTTCTATGGATCCCATTTTAATATAGTATTTCCTTCTAAGTCCAAGGTTGATAAACTAACTTTACCTTTTATTTGTTCTCTTCATAGTGTAATAGTTAAAAGCACAGCCTCTAACATCAGATTGCTTGACTTTGAAACTTGTCTCCATAACCTGTGTTTATAAGTTGCCTTAATTCTCTGTGCTTCATCTACAAAACAGGGTTAAAATAGTACCTACCTCATTGGGTTAGCGGGATAATGAAGTAAGTTGGTATAAGACAATCTCTTAGAAAAATGCTTAGTAAACATCAAATGCTCAATATTTACTAGCTATCATTATTTTTTAACTACAAAGGAAATGGTGAATATGAGGTCATTATACATTTAGGTACATTTTGAAATGAAGAGTCAGTCATATGTGTCTTTTCCCTTGTCTTTAGACAGGATTGACCTTAAGCTCCAAATAAACAAGTAATTGTCTTTCTCAATTAAAAATAAATTCTAAAGAGGAGTAGTTGGTATTCTCTCTGTAGCAATTTTTTCCCCAGTATCATCCAAAAATATTTCACATGACTATTGAACAAAAAATCCATTTGCCTCAATGTTTCTTAAAGACACTTTTACAAACTTCTATTTTTTCCAGAGTTCCAGGCTTTAGAGGTGTATCAAGGTCTCCTCCAAAACAGCAATTAAATATGAGATTCCAGATCTACTGATCATTGTTCATACATCCTTTATATCTACTACAAAATAGTTACATAGTTAACATTAATGATATATTCATAATTAAATTCTAATTCTAAAATCTTACCTTATGTCTGATCCTATACTAAGTAAAAGTGGACACTGACCAGGAGTTAAAAGAAAATGTTCAAATGAGACAATTCTTAACAGTACCATCATGTGGTAAAATCTTTTTAAATGACATTTCTACCTCTCCACAACATCTTTGCAAAGCACCATGTAGTTCAAGACATTAATACTAATCATTTTAAACTCCAATTTAACACAACTAAATATGCAGATATTCTGTTAGCAGGCCTTCTCTACTTATGGAATTCTCTCTAAATTAAAAAAGCTAATGTAACTACACTGCACTTTTGGCAAAGAAAAATAGCAGAAAAATGACGATTCCGAAAGTTGAGGTAGTTAGATAGATAATCCAGTAAAGGTACTATAACTTTTGAGACTAGGAAATTGGTTTTCTCGGATTCCAAAGATATCTACTTCTTCTTTCAGGAGGTTGAGGCTCAAACTAACTCTATGAGATAAGTGTGACACCTTTTAATATCACTCTTTTGTTGAGGAAGGAACAGGATGGGAAAGGTTAAGAGATGTACTCAAGATGATGATAGCAGTGGTGAGACTGGTCCTTTTTATTCCAAATTCATTTCATATTAGAATTAGATGTGACTTTAGAGAACATCTAATTTATACCCCATATTTCTAAATCTTTCTGGTGGTCTGAAAGTGTGGAAAGTAGCATAGCCTGGTAGTTTAAGTTGGGCCAAATGTGATGGTCACTCATACATCTTTTAATGTGTGGAAATCAAATAGTCAGCACACCAAGGTCTAGAGACGCTTGACATTCCCCACTATCAAAATCAGTCACTAATCTGAACACCATGGTTATTACTCAGAGACTCAGAAGTTTGGAGTAAGAGGAGACCGTAACCTTGGGACAATTATTTTCTCAAAATGCATTACCGACAATGAAGCAAGCAAAGCATCCAGATTACTCTCCAGTGCATGAATCCTTGGCCAAAAAATGGCTATGGATCTTCCATGAGTACTATGAGTTTGGCTCAAATCTCATTTCAATGCATTTATATGTCATAAGCACTGCATTTGGACAGAGTTAAAATGAGCAAGTCAAAAAAAATACTTACTTAAAGATTTTCTATGCTCTGGTTTCTGTTCTTTTATATCACTGTCATAGTGACTTAGTAACTCAGTACTGGAGGATCTCTGGATTTTGAATAATTCCAGGTTTCTGGGTAGACTACTTGGATTCTTTGGCTGGAAATAACAGACAATTAGCTTGATAATTTTACAAAGAAGAAAGAATTTAAAAAATAGTTTGGAGATCTATTTTGATGTTAGATTTAAAAGGAATTTTAAAATAATTATTTTTGGGATGGGGCTTCTATGCTAAGCTTAGTATTCAAATTTAATTATAGTTTTATATTTCTATCTATCTATCTATCTATCTATCTATCTATCTATCTATCTATCATCTATCATCTATGGTGCTTACTATATGTTTTATATTAATCCAAGAACTCCACATGCATTAACTCAATTAATCATCACAGTAATCCTATGAAGTAGGTATTATTGTTATTATCCTTACTTTCCAGACAAGAAAACTGAAGCCAAAAGAGATAAGTAATTTGCCTAAGGCCACACAGCTAGTAAATGATAGAACCAATATTCAAACTCAGGCAATTTGACTCCAGAATGCACTCTTAATAACAATAAACTCAATGCATGTGTGTGGAGGGGAACAGGGAAGGAGTACTGGCATTCACACATTCCTGGAAAAGAGTATATATTGAAGATGGGGAAAAGTAAATTTGTTATTTTGTTTTTTAAAGTTGTAGTCCCAAAATGATATAATGGAAGACTCAAATTAAATAGCAATAAAATCACACAGAAAATGTATTTTCCTATTGTACACTTTATTAAAAGCTCTCAAAAATATTTTTTCCTCAAGATTTTGCAAATATTAATGTCCTAAAATTAGATGTTTGGTCTAGAATTAGAATCACTATAAAATGAGTACTTTTAAATCATTGACTCTTTTTAAAACATACTCTGAATGTGTGATTTAGGTAATTTCATGAAGTTCTAGATATGTAATTTTCATGAGAAGAACAATCTAGCTTAGCTGGAAAAACAATGAAAATCAGTACAAAGGATTATTATTTACTGGTATTGTAACAGTGAGTATAGGCTTAAATATGCATCAATATTTATTTTCAAGAATATGTATTACAGACTTCATAAAACGAAAATGTGGAAATTCGGTAGTTATTAAGTGCTTGTGTGATTTTTACAGCCTCTAGTAAATGAATGTCCATGTTATTTCATAAAAAAAAAATAAAATAAAATGAATGCACTGTGTTTTTAAAAGAGAGAAATCAAATGACATTTTGTTCCACAATTCCTGTCTGCTGAAATATTTTTAGTGGACTCTGTTTAAGCTTAAAATAACTTAATATTTCTCAGTCCATAGAATCCATTTAAATGTGTGTTATATGCCTAAACAATAAGATTTAAATGACTACATTTTAATTAATAAAAGTAACAGCCAAAACAAATACATACCAATCTGTCAATTGCATTTTTGATAGCGTGGAACCAATCCAATATGATGAAGTCAATATCTGACTGTAGAAGGAACTCATTTCCTGATACTGTTGTGATCTAAAAAAATAAATAAATAATTAACAGGTAAGCAACCCAAATAAAATAGATCCTTCTTACATTTAAAAAAATATATATTCTTTGAAAAAACACACTTTATATATCCTTTAAAAAAACATACTTTAATACACTGAAATATTTTCTTGTATTCCAGTAATTGTCTTTCTGGGAACTGAGAGACTAGGACTAGGATCATTTTGAACTGCTCACTATAAACTGTTAACCTTGTGACAATTATTTTCTCAAAATGCATTACCGACAATGAAGCAAGCAAAGCATCCAGATTACTCTCCAGTGCATGAATCCTTGGCCAAAAAATGGCTATGGATCTTCCATGAGTACTATGAGTTTGGCTCAAATCTCATTTCAATGCATTTATATGTCATAAGCACTGCATTTGGACAGAGTTAAAATGAGCAAGTCAAAAAAAATACTTACTTAAAGATTTTCTATGCTCTGGTTTCTGTTCTTTTATATCACTGTCATAGTGACTTAGTAACTCAGTACTGGAGGATCTCTGGATTTTGAATAATTCCAGGTTTCTGGGTAGACTACTTGGATTCTTTGGCTGGAAATAACAGACAATTAGCTTGATAATTTTACAAAGAAGAAAGAATTTAAAAAATAGTTTGGAGATCTATTTTGATGTTAGATTTAAAAGGAATTTTAAAATAATTATTTTTGGGATGGGGCTTCTATGCTAAGCTTAGTATTCAAATTTAATTATAGTTTTATATTTCTATCTATCTATCTATCTATCTATCTATCTATCTATCTATCATCTATCATCTATGGTGCTTACTATATGTTTTATATTAATCCAAGAACTCCACATGCATTAACTCAATTAATCATCACAGTAATCCTATGAAGTAGGTATTATTGTTATTATCCTTACTTTCCAGACAAGAAAACTGAAGCCAAAAGAGATAAGTAATTTGCCTAAGGCCACACAGCTAGTAAATGATAGAACCAATATTCAAACTCAGGCAATTTGACTCCAGAATGCACTCTTAATAACAATAAACTCAATGCATGTGTGTGGAGGGGAACAGGGAAGGAGTACTGGCATTCACACATTCCTGGAAAAGAGTATATATTGAAGATGGGGAAAAGTAAATTTGTTATTTTGTTTTTTAAAGTTGTAGTCCCAAAATGATATAATGGAAGACTCAAATTAAATAGCAATAAAATCACACAGAAAATGTATTTTCCTATTGTACACTTTATTAAAAGCTCTCAAAAATACTTTTTCCTCAAGATTTTGCAAATATTAATGTCCTAAAATTAGATGTTTGGTCTAGAATTAGAATCACTATAAAATGAGTACTTTTAAATCATTGACTCTTTTTAAAACATACTCTGAATGTGTGATTTAGGTAATTTCATGAAGTTCTAGATATGTAATTTTCATGAGAAGAACAATCTAGCTTAGCTGGAAAAACAATGAAAATCAGTACAAAGGATTATTATTTACTGGTATTGTAACAGTGAGTATAGGCTTAAATATGCATCAATATTTATTTTCAAGAATATGTATTACAGACTTCATAAAACGAAAATGTGGAAATTCGGTAGTTATTAAGTGCTTGTGTGATTTTTACAGCCTCTAGTAAATGAATGTCCATGTTATTTCATAAAAAAAAAATAAAATAAAATGAATGCACTGTGTTTTTAAAAGAGAGAAATCAAATGACATTTTGTTCCACAATTCCTGTCTGCTGAAATATTTTTAGTGGACTCTGTTTAAGCTTAAAATAACTTAATATTTCTCAGTCCATAGAATCCATTTAAATGTGTGTTATATGCCTAAACAATAAGATTTAAATGACTACATTTTAATTAATAAAAGTAACAGCCAAAACAAATACATACCAATCTGTCAATTGCATTTTTGATAGCGTGGAACCAATCCAATATGATGAAGTCAATATCTGACTGTAGAAGGAACTCATTTCCTGATACTGTTGTGATCTAAAAAAATAAATAAATAATTAACAGGTAAGCAACCCAAATAAAATAGATCCTTCTTACATTTAAAAAAATATATATTCTTTGAAAAAACACACTTTATATATCCTTTAAAAAAACATACTTTAATACACTGAAATATTTTCTTGTATTCCAGTAATTGTCTTTCTGGGAACTGAGAGACTAGGACTAGGATCATTTTGAACTGCTCACTATAAACTGTTTTTTCATTTCATAACTAATACATTATTGTTTTAATAATAGAATGATTAACTCAAAGTAGTACTAAAGCCGAATTACTCCAGCTCAAGGAGAAGCAAGCCAGGAAGTTCAGAATAATGCAGACAGTATCCACTTAAGTCAGAACCTCAGAAAAATGCACTCGGGTGTGTCAGAATTTATTCTGCACTTTTGGCTCTTTCCTGTTTGTCTTTTTCAAATCTAATAGTATCTCTATATTTGATTTCCTTTTATGGAGGGCTCTAAAACAGATTATTTACCAAAGAGACTAATGCAGACTTTTCTAAAACGTCATTCAAATGAATAACATTTGGCTATTTCTACTTTCCTATCATAAGGATCTATAGGAAAGTAATAAAGTACCAGTTTCCCCATAAAGGGAATATATTAGTATGGTAGTTTATTTACATATTTGAACATCTCATGGAGAGTATTTATCAAACGAACATCCCAGACTTTCAGAGCTATTAAGTAGTTGGCAATATTTAGTATGTAACTATACATTTTTTCATTGCAGTGAATCTATTTTTCCCCAGAATTGTGACAGGGGTGCAAGCCTATAGAAACAGAGCAATGTTCTTAATTTCACACATAAAGGGCCACTTAGAGAAGAATTTGATTAGAATGGGTGTGGACATGCTTTTTGCATTAGGCCATCGCTCTGAACTGTGAAGATTTTCCCTTTATATTATTGACTTTTTGTTTCAACAGGAAGATGAACATTTCCTGACTGCTGTCACAGATCAACCATGGCTTCAGAGGTTTAGAGGACTGACATTTCAATGTACTCAATCAGAAGCTAGTCACCTCTTCTCAGCCTTACTTGCTCTAAATAGGAGGTGAACACTGAAATGTGGCACAGGTTCAGGGAATCACAAATCATGCTTCAGATGTCTCCATAATTCTACCATTAAAGTGACAATTATTACCCAGAATAGCTCACTCTGAAGATTTCAATAATTCTTATGGCAACATTTAATAACAATGATTTTGGAGTTTTAAAGAAATCTTTGATTATACATACACATAAATATTCATTTGTCATTTATTTTTAGAAAAACTACATAGAGATACAACATCACTCAGTACTGCAATGCAACCATTCTTGAGTGAGATGAATTCCAACTTTTCACAGATGTAAAGAGAGGAACTATCCAAAGTATATGCAATTATGAGAAGTAAAAGATTAGAAAATAAGAGAAAATTAATTATCCACACTAGAATTTGACAGATTACCAGGGTCAATCACTCTGTTCTTTTTTTTTTTTTTTCACTCTGTTCTTAAGTAAAATTGTATGTAAAATTTGAGATGGCTCAAAATAGCCTCCAAATAGTCTTCTGTTTTATGTTTCCAGTAAAAGACAGTTAAGCTGATGTTTGCCTAATTATCTGAAAATGCTTGCAATGTTCTTTACTTACATAAAGTTCCAAATATTTACTTTATAAAGTGTTGCCACAGAAATAGTAATATCTAAAAATATAAGGTCACTTCTAACTAACCCAAGAAAACTAGTAACGTCCTTGACCTCTACCTTCATCCTATCTAAATGTAAATATTTTGATTATGAATGTATTATATAACGTCACAATTTGTTAACATACACAAAGAAAAATGAATTAGCCCAAATACAATCTACAGTCTATTTCCTTGCCATTATAAATAAACCATTATTAAAATTATGAAAAAGGAACATTTTCAAAGTACAAGAAACACACATAATTAGATTTACGGTATTCTGAGGGTTTAAGAAAGAGCTAGCATAGTTCTTTTCTCAGTCTAGTAAGTTCAAACAGTGATAAAATATAAGTACTTCAGCAGTGCATTTGCATTTTTGGTGCATGCTATGCAAAGATGATCTTTTACTGCGCACCAATCAAAAGCAAAGTGTATTTTAAAAGTTTATTTGTCCAAATAAATACTGCATTAATCGTACGTAATCAGTGATTTATAAATTCATTTTGAGAAACTGGATCAGAGAACTATATGAATGCAATTCATTCAAAACATACTATCAGAAAGATACAGTTCACATCCTTCCCTCTGTCTTCCCACTAATCTTTTGAGTTACTAGGCAGTCTGGAGAAGTCTGCTACTGCTCTCTACAGTTTAAATGCATCTACTTCTTAATTACAGTCGGTAATTGACTTTGTTCTGCTCCATTCCAGTCATTCACAGGAAAGCAGTTTCAAAGCCTTTGACTGGTAAAGCCCATTTAATTCAGGTTTTCTATCCCCTTTTTTGCATTACCTCTTTAGGTTTTCTGATAAATGGTTTTCTGAATCATATTTACACTTTGAACAATCGAATTTTCAACACCCTTGGGGGAAAAAAAGACATCAGTAAAGAACGTTTACTCTAAATCTTTTGATCGAACAACTCCTGATGACAATCTAAAGTGATGTAGAACTAATAACAAACATAAAAGATTTGATATTAAGCTATACTAATGTATTCTTTCTATATTATGTTCTGCTTAAGTGACAGATGCTAGGGTTAAGTGGATAAAGAAAAAACTGATAGAAAATATGATGAGTTTAGGTAAGATCTGCTGGCCTCCATTTTGCTTTTGAGCCTCCTTTTAGACAAATGTCTCTTGAAATCCCTTTTCTCCACCATGTCTTGTTTGAAAGGGATCTATCTTGGCACCAAAGCAGTCTTAATGAAATGTACTAGTGCTCTCAATAGAAGATATCCTCATTTACCTGTCTAGGGAAATTTGCCCCAAACATTTTCATAGTAAAATAAGGATCCATTTAAATTCTTGCTGGTAACAAATGTATGCCTGGAAAATTATATACGCATATCCACTGGGAGAATACAGAACAGACACATTCCTTAAATCTTTTTGCTATTAATTCAACAATAGCCTTCCCTTGGGCTAAGAACCTTGGTCTTGTCCTTGTTATAGTTCCTCTGAAGATGGAGGCACGTATATCAAACTCCAAACTCCACTGATAACAGATGAGAAGAAATTTGTTTTTTAGGTGTTATTTAACAAACGTAGTATTATTTTAAACTTTTAAACTAATTTAAAACATTTTAAATGAGTTTTAATAGGTAGCATTTATGTTTATTTAAGTATTGACCTTTTCAATATATTGTCAATAAAATATCACCTTTGTCAATGTGGATTCTGGCAGTTAGTTTTTCCCATGTTAGATTTTAAATTAAATGAGAAATTAGTATGTAGAATGGCATCTATACTATTAAAATTTTCCATAATTTGGTTTTCTAGAATAGAAGCAAAAAGTTTTAAAACTTCAATTTTTTTCTGATTGTAATTTATTCTGGAGAATTAGGAAAAAATAAAGAATGAGAAAGCAAATTAAACCTAGTCATAGCTTCACAAACACTGTGGAAGACATTTTAGTTACTCTTTCATAAATAATAGCAAAATAAATCTTTCATAAATAATAGTAAAATAAATCTGATAATGATCATTGGACAACTTTATGCTATAGATAGATATCTCATCAGTAAAATATATTTAGTGGTTAAATATTATTGGCTACTTCTGTTTCAGTTGACCTCAAATGTATACTGAGAGACTATCAAAGACACAGGAGATAATGAGTGACATGTGTTCCTTCTTTTATAGCAGCACTCTTACTATTGTAGAATCAATCACACAAATAATTCTTTGTTCAGGAAAATGAGAGGATGTATTTCTGACCAAACATCACCCAGATCATCAACAAGAACTAATTAAACATCCATTAAGTGCAAGGCGCATAGAAGTTAGGGATACACAACCCCCACCCTCAAGAGCTCACAATCGGTTTGGATAAATAGGACATATGCATATAAAGATAAATAACAATAGAAAATGGCTTATACTAAGTCCCAATGTGAATGGCACAGACAATATTCATGTCAAGATTTCAGAAGTGGGAGTAATTACAGCAGACACATTTACATCATGGAATAATGCATAAACTGTTGGTCATGAGAGGTTATTTGTTAAAGGTTGATTGTATTAGAACTTTAGTATATTAAGGATATGAATACAACCACTTGGTATGCAAAGTGATATCAGCTTTAATGATCTCAAAGCACATAATAAACATTCTTCAAGTGCAGCTTCCCTCCACTATCATAAAGTAATTTTACAAACGAAGAAAATGAAGCAAATGAAGAAAATGAGAATGCCATTCTATCAAATTGGCTCATTTTAAATGATAGAATTAAGAGATTACAAAGATCCTGATTTCTAGTTCACTAGTCCTTAGCAAACAGTTGTGTACAGTCAAAGACTCTGTGTATGTGGGGAAAGAACCATGATGATTCTGGTTTTGGTTGTGAAATTCGAAATATAAACCTTAGACAAAAGTTGCATATCTTTACTGTTATGCTAAAAATACCACACTTTTAAAAGATCACCAACATCCTTACTCAGATTTTTTTTCCTTTTTTCCTCAAAAATAATCAGTATGCTGCTATGAAAAAATATATCTAAAACAGAATTGAGGCATTCAAAAAACTCCTTTAGAGACTAACTGACAAAAACAATCCCAAGTTTGAACTAAATATTTTTCACATTTCACTTAGGATCAATCTTTGACTATGAACCTAAAGAAAATTTATTCCATATTAATGAAGCTGAAATGATATATAGAAAATGTGTAAAAAAATATATCGGATATCCAAAGAGCCATAAAAAATGTTAAATGATGTAGCTACAGTCATCATACAGGTAAGTAGATTACCCATTTAAGAGGAAGGGAATGTAATTACTATTATTTTTGGAGATACTTTAGACTTC